ATATGGATTGAGAGTGGGAATGCAACAAGTTGGTATCCTTCTCTAAGCTACCCAAGGCCATCAAAACCTTATCTTCAAATGTGGAATTACTAGAAAGTGATTAAGGATAATGAAAGCCAACTTGGGAATCACACATTTGAGAATGTGAGAGGTCATTCATCCTTTGATGATGGAAAGAAGAAGAAATAAACCCTGAGAACCTCCATTTCTTTTACGAGGTGGAATGTATTTTCTTTGAAAATTTTGAGCTTGATAAGGGCTTGAGTTTTCATTCCACAATGGAACATATGTATTTGAATAAGGGTGAGCAAATGTAACATTAACTTGTTTAAAGTGTTCATTAACAACATGTCCATGGGGACAATCGAAAGTAGTATGCAAAACACTTGAACATGTCATGCAAGGCTCATAAAGATAAGTTGTATAATGAAAAGGAGATGAATTGATAGACGGTTTTTGATTCAACAAGAATTGATCAAGTTTTTGAGAAAGAGTTTTAACCTCGGCTACAATTTCCCTTGACCTTTCAATTTGACACACTGTTACACTTTTCTCCTTTTTATTAAAACCATGATCAAGCCGAGAAGTGTAATATTTATGCAAAGAATTTTCACTCATTTTTTCAAAAAGGTGCTAAATGTCATCTTCATGTTTTCCAAAATACGAACCTCCACATAAGGTATCAACTATGTCCTTTTACATGTCGGATAGGCTTTCATAGAAGTATTGGACAACTTGCCATTTTAGAATATCATGATGTGGATACTTTCTTAGCAAGTCATTCAATCTCTCCCAAGCCTCATGCAACAACTCTCCTTCTACTTGAGAAAATTCTCTAATTGAAGCACACATTACATTGGTCAAACTTTTGGGGTAAATTTTTTTTAAAAACTCATTTTGCATTTGTGCCCAAGATGTTATTGAATTTACCCTTAAAGTATTGAACCAATGTTTTGCTTTATTTTTAAGTATGAAAGGGAAGAGAAGTAATTTAAGAACTTCCTCCGGGACATCCATGTACCTCACGGTGGAACATAGTTCAAGAAATTCATTAAGATGCCTATGTAGTTCCTCTTCATCTAAGCCATAAAAGAGTGGACACATTTGAATGGTCTCGGGCTTGATTTCATATTGATTAGCCTCAAAATTAGGCAACACAATGCAAGTAGGTGCATGGTATGTATGAAGATTATAATGATCACGAAAGACCATTGGAGGAATTGGAGTTTGAACTCCGGGGCCATGTTGATTAAGAGGTAGGTTTTGCATGAAACGTGGGTCTAAATAGCCAAGATTACCCTCTAGATTTTCCATGTGAATGCCTAGAATGTATGATATGACAAGGTCTATTCCCAATTACAAGCGACACATAAATCACAACAAAACAAACAAGCACTCCTCCTTCGCAACAAATCAACAATCAACAAACTTCCTCCACATACAATGTTCCTATACTCCCATACTCAAACAATATGCAAAGAACAATTAAAAATGCCTCCACACGGGCTCACGATTTATCTAAGAAATTAAAAACAAGCCTCCACGCGGGCCGACGATTTAACTAAAGGATTGAGTAAAAAAAGTCTCACAAAGGTTCCATAACACTTCAACTCCAAATTTATAGCTTAGCTTAGCAATTTTTTTAATATTAAAATTTTATCATATTTCCTTGCTTACTTAGCTCCTTTGCTTGCCTCCTAACTCAATGCTCCTTGTCAAAGATGAACAAACACAATAAGTAACAAAAAGAAAAATAAAAATAAAGTAAAGACACGATCAAAAGAGTACTAATTGCTAATGAATGCAATAAGGAGTAAGTAAGAGAGAGAGAGAGATCTTGGGGTTTAGAGGTCACCACCAAACAATGCTTTTCTACACCCTTAACTAGTGATTAATGAGGGAAATGTGTGTTGCAATATTGATGTGTGTGTGTGTTTGGTTGGTTCAATTAGCAAGGGTGACCAATTAAGCATACATTGTCTAATCAACATGTGAAAAGCACAATATATCTAGCAATTAAGTATATATTGTCTAAATAACATGTGAAAAGCACAATATATCTAGTAAGTCTTTAATCCTTTCATTAAGCTCACAAACCAAATACACCACAAGGTCAGAGACATATGTTACTTGCATTCAAAAGCATGGAACATCAAACAACAAGCATGGATTGTCCTCCCATCTAACAACTATGCTACCACTACACTACAATTAAGCTAATGACATGAAATTAAACTAATTAAGCTAAGGGATAGGCACAATCTATCAAGAAATGAGCATGAACCATCTAGAAAATTACAAGAGCATTCTTTTTAAGCACTATGTTTTGACAATCTCTAGATCTATAGCATTAATACATATAGACATGCATCAATAACACAAGAAATAGAGATAAACACATGAACATCTATTCTAGCATACACAGACATATGGATAGAATGAAATGATCAATTAGAAGTATTAAACCACATAAATCATTGAATAAATAAGATTTATATATATAAAAGTGCCAAAACATGTATTACAACACTAATCCCTCAATAATACACAAAATCAAGATGTAGAAAGCATGCTTGGGGCTAACTCTAGCCCCAAGAGGATGTCTAGCCACTCATGGTAGTGCTTCTCCAACCCTCAAGGGCTAACTCCATGGTAGAGATTTGCTCCTTGGTTAATGAAGCGTCTTCAATGATGTCTCTAGCCTCCTCCTCCTCTAAGCTTGCTCTCCAAGAGATGATATGATGTGATATGGTATGATGTTGGTGTAAAAAGTAATCCTTATCCTTACATAGGTAGGTCAAATGACACACAAAATGAGCTTGGGTCGTGCACAAAATATTCCCCAATGATTGGATAAAGGACAACTTTGGTGAGCTGGAAATTTAACTTTTTCGCACTGGAGGAAGTTCGATCGATCGAACCTTGGACTTGGATTGATCGAACATGGCTGAGATTTATCGAACTTAGGCTAGATCGATCTTTAATGGCGGCGCTTTTTGGATAAAGACAAATCTGAGATATTTTGAAGATATTTTTGGGAAAAGGACAAAAGTGGTTAGTAGGGTGGTATAACTAGATAAGATCAATCATTTGTATAAGGACAAAGTAGTTCGATCGATCGAACTTTTGAGATCTCTGAAAATGTCATCATGGCTCTGATCCATCTTGAAGTGCTAAGATTGATCATGTTGGATCGATCGAACTTTGATTTGAGATCGGTCGAAGATGTTGATTTCCACATTTTTCTTCCTTTTGCTTCCACTTGGCTCCTTTCTTTGATTCATCCCAGAATTGCTTCATTTCTGCTCTTTTTTGGCCGAGTTAGCTTATTTTCGGGATAAGTGCCTGAAGATGGAAATAATACGAAATCAATTTAAAGCGGTAAAGTAAGATAGATAAAGGTACTAGAATGCCTAAGCTTAAGGGGTTTAAATACGCACTTTTCAGCGCTCATCACTCACATAGGGTAATTTGTGAGGACCACAATGCGGTGAGACTCGAAATAGTGTTGAAACTTTCTCTTCGCATATACTAAGGCTAATATGTTCTTTTCTGCTTTGCAATATCTTGTTTCGGCATCTGTCATTGTTTTACTTGTGTAGAAGACTAGATGTTGATTACCCCCTTCTTCTTGGATTAGAACTGCACTTATGGCTATGCTGGAGATCGCTAAATACATAGTGAAGGTTTCTTCAGCCTTCGGGGCAGATTAAATTGGAGGTGTAGTCATGTAATACTTCAGTTTAGTGAGAGCTTCTTGCTGCTGAGGTCCCCACATGTCTTTTTTCTTCGACCGTATAGCATTAAATAAAAGTTTGCACTTATCGGATAATCGGGATATGAAACGGCTGGGGGCTGCTATTTTGCCGGTTAGTATTTATACTTCCCTGTGAGTTTTTGGCTCCTGATTCTGCAAGGCATGGGCCTAAGCTAGGCTTACTTCTATTCCTCTCTTGTTGACAATATAGCCGAAGAACTGTCCTGAAGAGACTGCAAAGGAACATTTAGAAGGATTCAATTTCATATTATACTTCCTCAAGGTGTCGAAGACTTCTTGGAGGTGCCTGGGTTGATCTTCCTTCCTCTTACTCTTGACAACCATGTCGTTAATGTAAGATTCAACTGTCTTCCCCAGCATCTCATTGAAGATCTTGTTGACAAAACGTTGGTAAGTAGCCCTGGCATTTTTAAGTCCGAAGGGCATGACTTTGTAACAGTAGGTTCCCTTCTCAGTGATGAAGGATGTTTTCTCTTCATCCTCAGGATTCATGGGAATCTGATTGTATTCGGAGTATGCATCAAGGAATGTGAGTTTTTCATAGCCTGCTGTTGCATCCACCATTTGATCTATCTTTAGTAGTGGAAAATTGTCTTTGAGACAAGCTTTATTATGATTGGTGAAATCTATGCAAACTCTCCACTTTCCATTCTCTTTTTGGACCACCACTACATTTGAGAGCCATTGAGGATAATGCAGTTCCTGGATGAAGTTCGCTTGAAGCAATTTGTCTATTTCTTCAGCAATGATTTGGTTTCTTTCAGCAACGAATCTTCTATGTTTTTATTTGACTGGTCTGAATGACGGGTCCACCCTTAGACTATGGCATGAGACCAAAGGGTTGATTCCTGGCATGTTCGAATGTATCCAGGCGAATGTATCTGCATTCTATCGGATAACATCAACTAACACCTCCATCTTTTCGGCTGCTGGGGAAGAACCCATATAAGTTACTTTCTGTGGGTTATCGAGGAAAACTTCGACAGCTTCGAGAGATTCCTCAGTGGGTTTTGTTGCATCATCTTCTACCTCTGTTTCCAAATACTTAGGTAGAGGACTCTGTAATTACTGAGGATAACTTTCTTAGCTTGTGAACAACCCTCAATCTGGAGTAGTACACCTCTTCTGACTCTTGGTCTTCCTCTGACTTTTCATGTATTGCACGAATAACCTTCACTTGATTTCCTTCCACTTTCCGATAATTAACTTCCTTTAGCCTTGCCTACTTCCTTGGCCCGAGATAGTCTGTTAGGTCTCCTATGGTTATCAAATTTTCCACCTGTCGCCTAAGGGATCTACAATCATTGGTTGTATGCCCATAATCCCTATGGTAGGCGTAGTGTTTGCTTTTATCCTCTTGCTCCAGGGGTTGCCTCATTGGTTGAGCGGTTATAAATCTCACTTTGTTCTCTTGGAATAACCGAGCAAATGTGGTACGAAGAGGTGTGAACCTCTCTTTTGTCTTCTGCCTTTTCTCAGGTATTTGGACGATTGGAACTGAGGCATATTGACTTTTTTGACTTTTTGAACTCGAAGCTTTTTTTTTAGGCTTATTTTCTACCTTGACGAGGGTGGCATGTTGTACTCGGTGGGTTACATTCTCCTTAAGCCGAATGTAGATTTGTGCCCTGGCATTGAGAGTCTGCATGTCCGGAGGAGAATATTTGACTAAAGAGGCATGGAACTTAGTCCCTTGTATCATACCGATCTTGAATGTTTCTATAGCAGTCTCAGGGTGACAATCTGCTATTTCTAAAGCTGCCATGTTATATCTGGATAGGAAGTCTTGTAATGTTTCTCCTCTCTTCTGTCTTATAGTGAAGAGACTAGCGATAATCTTTTTCTGCTTTTTATTACTACAGTATTGTGCTAGGATCATGGCGCACAGAGTTTTGTAGTTCGGGATGGACTTGTGTAGCCTATTCTTGAACCACTCCAGCGTGGCTCTTATCAGACTAGTTGGGAAAACTTTGCATATGAATGCGGCATTGTCGTTGCCCAGAGCCAGATCGAGGTGGCGGGAAGGATCTCCCGTGCCATCGAATTGAATGAAGGTTGGCATAGTAAATTTTTTAGGTCTGTCGACATAGTAAATCTGATCAGTGAATGGAGTCTTCACTAGAGAGGCCTTATGCTCCCTGGCCATCTTCCCGGGTGTTTGAATCCTTAGGAGTTTCTTTTCATCAAAGGCTTCTTGGACACCATCTTGAATGCCATTTGTCCATACTATGAGTTTGCTGTTGGATTCAGCCTGTTCATCTTGTGCGCGATGAGGGTGGTTGTCCGAAGCTACTGCCTCGGTTCTCACCCTCTGCTCCTCCCGACTCTCGTTGGCTTAAGCTTCGTTAACAAGAGGAACATTGTGGTTGAGGGGAGCTTTGTCAATAGGAGGAATATTGTGGTTGGGAGGAGCTCCTATTATATTTCCTGGTGGTGGTTGTGGTGCTATCTGTGCCATGGCTGTTTGGAAAGCGTCATTCCTCTGCTGAAGCAACGCAATCTGAGCAGTATTGGTCTCGTTTGCTTAACGGAGGGTCTCGAACTACTGCAAGAACTCTTCTCGTATCTTTTGCATTAATTCCATCTGTTGATCAACTGCGGCTGCTGCTCCTCTGATTGACATCCCAGATCGTAGTAGCATAAAAGATTTCAAAACACTCATGGGGGGATATTTCTATATGTTTTCCCACAGACGGCGCCAAAGTGTAGGCTCAATAACTCACTTAACTAGAAAGTTAAAAGAATAAATACAACTCACTTAAAATAAAAGAACAATAATTAGAACAACAATTCAGAGAAAAACTTATATTGCTCGATCTTTATTGGAGGTCTAAGCCTCTATTTATATACAAATTGATGGTGGAATTATGGTAGGATTCACTATGCTTGTCCTCTAATTCATTCCATATACAACTCTTTACCAAAAATGTTATTTCTTTTTATAATTCTTTCCATTCAAGACTTTTCCTACATAGAACTTCCATATATGAAGGATCTGTTGGTAAGTAGGATTTGATCAATCTAAACTGGACTTGAATCGTATACATAATGGGCCAGATGGGTTTTCTAGTAGGCCGAGAGGTTAATATTAATAACCTTGGATTGCTATTGACTTTCTTTGGGCTTAATCTGGATTGGGCTTTGATATGTTAGCGGAGAACCAATGAGGTAATTCTTTATTATAGTGATGTGGATGATCCTTATTGGAGGGGGATTTTTCCCTCCACACAATCGGTTCGTAATTCTTTTTTAAAGATATGATAATATTCGTCTGAGTCCGTTAAAATTTTTAGTTCTCTTTTATTTTTATTTTGTTAATAAACTAATACAATTGTGATGATTTTTTTTTTAATTTATTTATATATTTTCTTTTAATGTCAATTGTTCATTTTATAAGGGGTACTATAGACTTTTAATTATGCAAATGGCATAATTGGCATTTGATTATTTTATGGAGGGTATTGTGGACTTTCCCTATGCAAATGGCATGGAGGGAATTCAATAAAGTTAGAAAGGCCTTTTGGTCATTGCACAAGGTCCACCTTTTTGACTATCATGTGGGCTTGACACCTAAGTAGGTGATGAAGCAATACATATGCATATTATAATTTAGGGTAAAGTGCACTAAACCCCCCTAAACTATGACCTAATTGCAAGAAACCCCCCTGAAGTAAGTAAAACTCCCTTAAGTATCATTTTATTGCAAACGTTAATAAGCCGTTAACGGAAAATTAAATTACTTTTTAGTCTTTGAGTTGAACGACATCGTTTTTAAGTTCTATATAATTTTAACTGCTGTTGTGGCAAATACAATCTTAGGTCCAATAAAAAGGTGACATCACATCAACCTTTTTTTTTTTTTTCTTTTTCCATTCTTGTTCTTTCTTCTTTACTGTTGCTACCCTTTTTCTTTTTCCAAGCCCAAGAGACAACCTCACATGTGTACGATGGAAGAAGAGGAAGACGGAGACGGAGACGAAGATAGAAAAAGTCAGGAAACAAAGATGACGTGGATGTCTGCGTGCTCTGAATGATTGCAAACACAAACTATTCGGCGGTGCACTGATGCAAGAGAATTGAAACACACCGACGACAAACTGAAACGCACAAGTGGAACAGATCCAAAAAAAAAAAAAAAAAAAAAAAAAAAAAAAAAAATTGTAAAAAAATTAAAGACAACATATCCAAACCAAATTGATTGAAGATATATATATATATATACTTCTACCCAGTTGAGGTTTCTCAATTCGTCAATTAATGGTTTTGGGTAGTTAATTTAATGCCCAAGGAGAAGAATTTGACAGCAGCGGAAAATATGAAAATGGGTGAAATGTTGAGTTTGGGTTTGGGTTTGAATTTGTATTTGCATTTGCAGGGGTAGAGAGAAAGGAGAGCGGAGAGATCGCCAATTGTGGTGTTGGATTCGTAGCGGTAGTTTTTGTTTTTGTTTTTGTTTTTTGTTTTTTGTTTTTTGTTTTTTTTTTTGTTTTTGATTTTTTTTTTTTTTTTTTTTTTTTTTTTGTGGGTTTTGATTGTGGGAAATGGGTCCTGTGGTGGTTGGCGGGGTGGGTATTATGGCAGTAGTTTGGGGTTAAGATGGTGGCGGTTGGTGGCCGATGGTAGTTGTTCATAGAGAGATGAGAGAGAAAGGCCAAAAATAGGTTATGGGTTTTACATAGTGAGGGAGGGTGCCGCCGGAGAAGGTGGCGACAAGGACGGTGGGGTCCCCGGCCTCTTGGATCCAGTAGCCGCAGACAAATATGGGCCTCTTCATCTAAAGTGAAGCATCGGCGATATGCTTTTCAACTCTGGCAGCACCGACTCCTTCTTCACCACCAAAGTTTCTTGAAGACTCGTATGATACGACTACAATAGCTCCTTCACACTACTGCCATGGGCGAAGATGGATGAGAGAGAAAGTAGAGAGGGAATAAAGTGGAAGAGATGGAGGGATTCCACGTTCAGCAACGTTAGAGTCGTTGGTTTTGAAGCCGGTGAAAAAATAACATTTTCCATATATATATATATCCTTAACTGTTGTAGGGTTAATTTTGTCTTTTAAAAAATTTGGACCACTCACGTGACCTGCATGCCTTCATTTTTGTCAAATATCTAATGGCGCGCAGACTTAATATTTGCAACAAATAAAATAGTTTAGGGGGTTAAATGTCTTTCAAATAGTTCTGGGGGGTTTATTGAGAAAGATAAGAAAGTTCAGGGGAGTGTAGTACACTTTACCCTATAATTTACAAAAATCCATCTGAAGGATAGATACAAAAATATTCTGCAGACTTTCGTGTCTTTGTTTTCCTTCCCATAGGCGTCTTCTTTGTACGCTAAATTGATGCTCTTGTGTTGGGAATTTGTTATAGCTTTGTGAATGGAAAATGTTCCTAAAATCATAAACTTCCTTTTAGTGTAAAGTTTGTAAACAATTCCTTAGTGTTGGCCGGGTTTTCAAAAGTGGTTTTAAAAAGGAAAGAGTTGGTTGTACTACAAGAAAGGTGTCTTCATTTTTCTCCACTCTGGTGACGTTGATTCTCCATTTTGGTGAAGTTTTGGGTTGGTAGTAAAGTATTCAAGCTTCAATTGAGGTAGGATTGTTTAAATCTCACAACCTTTACATTTGGTGAATTATATCTCTTTAATTGAATGTTATTTACTTGAAAAATTAAATAAATAAATAAATTTGAATTAAGAACCATTTTCCCGAGCAGGTGACTATGTGATATTTATTGTGTTAGTAAGCATGATAGAATTTTAAAAGAATTTAATTAATAATGTTTTTGTATATGGACATAGATCAAATTATTGATTTTAATATGTTGTACATTGTATCATTATGAATGTACATTCATCTCGTATGGTTTGGGGATGAGTCTGGAATGGGAAGGAAAGTGGAGACATCTCATTAGATGGTTGTTGAGAAAAGAATTAGAAATGAATGATGTGAAAGTTAGATGTCGGGGATTACCTCATATCTAGATCGTTATGGATTTAGAGAAGACGTAGAGACATACTATACGTGTGGTTGAGTCACTAGCCCCAAATGGCGCTTGGGATTACCCTGGGTCAGGGACAGATGACCAATCTTCTTCTCGTGGTGCTGGGGATTACCCTGGGCCAGATGTATTAACAGTCGGAATGTGTGGGTTGATTGAGGTTTCGGGAAGTGGGAGATGTCTTTGGCATTGGCATTAGCATTGCACTGTACTTCATTTTGTTATCTCAAATGATATTATTTTCCCGAGCCTGTATGATCATTGTGGATTCACGGAGGTATTAAGGAGTGCACTTTAGGCAACTCCTACTAAGTTGTGATTGCACATTCCTATTTTGTACAAATCTTTTTAGGTCAAAGGTCTCAGAGCTGTAGACGGATCTGGGTCTGTGGTTGTGGTTCAGTTACATCCCTGCTATTACAGACTTCGAGATTACGAGATCTTGGTTGTCTGTGTGGTGAGTTCACAATCCGAACTTCGGTCTTGGGCCGTGACAACAATACTTATGGAAAAAAATAAACAGGTTTTCATGCTTCTAATGAGAAAAACAAAAATATATATGCATAAAAACCATTCAGATAAATATGAAAAAATAAATACTATTATTCCTGAATTTTACAATGAATATTTTATCACCTGCATTGCACTCCTATTGTATATATACAAAGTATATACAAATTACTGTATCTGAATCCATATACCCTCACTAGGAATTTCTTGATGAACTACAAATAAAAGATAATATCCGGAAGGTGCAAGATTGACGGAACCCGGTGTCATCACTGTCACTACATAAATGGTTTCCCCTATTTTTACCAAGTTCTCTCCACTAAGCACCAATAGTCTTTGGTGCATTGAAAATGAGTGTGTGTTGAATGATGGTGCTACCATTGTAACCGAGATCAAATCTTCTTTGAGTACACCCGTTATGGTGAACCAAATGGCTACCTTTTGTCCATAGCCGAGCTTAACTTGAGAAAAGGGCAAAAGAATACTCGGACGCAAAATTGTAGACTCTGAATCTAAATACGATGGCGAGAATGCCTCCAATCTTAATTCTGTTGGAAAAAGGACTTCAGTAAACTCATACAATTGATGAGGATTGCTACCACCAACAAGAACCCTCCCGTCACGTAACAAAATTGCAGTTGAGTGGTACATACGAGGAATGGTGGTCGGGTTTTGTTCCTCAAACCGAGACCCAATAAGGCTATTGGGCCGGTAAATTACCGGATTGAGAACCGGGTACCGACCATTATCCCATCCGGCGGTACCAGACCCCGCACCATTGATGATTAATACGTTGCCGTTTGGTAGTAAAAGCATGTCACCCATAACCCGAGGCAGAGGCATTGTCTCCATGACCCACTGGGCATTCGGGTCGGTTATTTTGATTCGCCCACACGTATTCAAAGCCCCGACAAACATGCGACTTTGATTCACGCTGGTGAACGATCCTTTGGGTGCACCACCGCAAACCAAAACTTCAGCTTCAATTTGAGGTCCCTGTAAGTCCTTCAATGGAAGGAGAACTGAAGACCCAGTGCTCGGATAATTCCGAGGATCGCCTCCGGGGATTCCCGGGTACGTCCTCACAACGACATCCTTCAAGTAATCGAATAATATAGCTCGGTTATTAGCAAAAATAAACAAATTTCCATCAACATTAAGAAAAACAAATGGATATAGGTTGTTCTCTATGTATCGGTCATAGGTGTCAGCTAAGAAGCGTAAGAAATAAGGTTTTGAAGCTGAAGCAGTTTTTGGATAAAACTCATAGGTGAACTGTTTCCGCCCACCGATGACGATTTGCCGGCCGTCCGGCAATATGTGATTGGTGGCGTACCACCTCTTTTGAGTTAACCCATCGTTTACTTCCTCCCAATCACAGTCACTACATGGTCCAAAAATTCTGACCACACGTTCTCCATAATTTAATCCGCCAGTTTGGATCAGACGGCCGTCAGGCATCACAGCACCCGAGGAGCACCACAAGTCGGTGAGGACCATGAGGGGACGTATAGTGTTGGTTGCGACGTCGTATTCGACAGAGTGGGCCGTACAGTCGGTTTTCAAAGCCTTTTCTTTGGTGTCGTTGCGGCATTTGCCGTTTGGCAGTGAGATGTTGGAACGGCCGAAGTTGGTTCGGTCGAAGATGACAACTCGGTCGTTGTGGAGGAGTTGCATGTGCATGGCCACTATGCCAATGCTGGGACTTAGAAGATTCCAACAGCCGCCGGCGGCATGGGTCAGATTCAGGCTACATTGTCCGGCTGCTATGAGTAGTAGAAGCCGGAGGAGGAAGGAAAGAATAACGTTTCGGGTCATGAATTTGGTTGTTTTAAGGGGTATGAGGGTGTTTAAGAATCGATGTAAGAATGTGGTGGTGTGGAGTCCATAGATTTATAAGGTACCAAGGCAATTTTTTTTGGGAATTTTTTTTTTTTGGCATTAGTAATCACGTAGTACAATATTTAACTCTCAAAAAAGAAATAAAAAATAGTTGAGGTAGGTTTTGAAAAGAAAGAAATAAAAATGGTTACTTCAATTTTTTTTTAAGAATAGTTTTTTTATTTTAAGAAAATTAAAAATACCAAAAAAAAAAAAAAATGTATGAAAGACAATTTTCTATTTTTTTACTTCACTTTAATAAAGAAAAAGGAAAAAGTGTGGATTCTTACACAATGCATTTTTATGTTAGGATTTCCGCGGTTTTGCCAGCCGTGTCTATCAAAAAAATTCAGTTGGCAGAAGAAAAGAAAAAAACTTGTGTTATTTTGTTATTTAAATGAACCCTCTTTTCCTAATCTTGTCATACGGAGTTGTTTTCTAGAAACAAAATTAAAAGAAGATACATTCAAAGTTGAGGAATTATAATACTATTTCAAAGAATTTTTATTATTCTATAAAGTGGAGGTCTCGTAGAAAATATTAGTATTTGTAGAAAATATTAGGACTTAGAATGATTGGAGCGGGAGCTATGGGAAAAGAAAGATGTAGATGACCATGTGAGTGAGATACATGGATGGGAGCAAAGAGAGGAAAAAAAAAAAAAAAAAAGATTTGTCGGGTTTATACCAAAAAAATCGGTATAACCATTTTTGTATTTTTTTAAATTTAAAAGAGGTGTCAACCTTTTATTGGGATATGTTGGTGTGCAGGACACAATCTGTCTTGATGAGGTATAAAATTATTGTCATTTTTTTTAATCACTTTTCCTAATATTGTAATTTCAGATTATTTGTGTATTTTTTATTGGACTACATCAGTGATAAGTAGGGATGACCTACTCACCAATAAGTAGACAAATCTTGTCCCAAAAAAAAGTAACTATTATACCAAAGATGCTAGGGTTAACGAAGGACATATGATTTTTTCATAGCAAAGAAGCCAAGGATATATGGTGTTATTTGTGTTAGACTATTAATTCTAAGTATCATTATCCTTTAACCATGATGTGTTATTAACTTCCGAGATGCCATTGACACAGTTATTTTTTTTGTTATATATGTAATTGGATCTTTTCACAACAAATTATAGCAATTGGCTAGTGCAATCCTAAAATTGGAAAAAGAATAAAAGAGAAATAAAAGAGTGAATACTACAACCAAAATGGTCAATCGAATGACAAGAAAGAAAAGATAACAATTTCAACCCTGCAATTAATCAAATTGATCGATTGAATGACAAGGAAATAACAATTTCAACCGTGCAATTACAAGTTTATTCCCTTTACCTATTATCTAAGTTTCTTGCATACTACAAATTACCATATAAATTACATCTACCATATTAGTATCTATAGATTACTTGTTTATCACTTACTTACCCCAAAACCTTTTCTTATATATAATACTTTTATATAATCTTTATTTACATCTTCATCAAATTAATATAATATAATATTTTTTTATTTCTAACCGGTCATAACTGTTATGCCCTAACCATTATTTGAATCCATAAGAGCATCTCCAATCTAATGCTATATTGGTTGCCATTTCTAAAATATAGCAAGAGATGGTAAAAATGGGTTTTTCAATGCAATGCTATATGGGCTGCCAAATTTTAACTTTGCCAAAACTTATGCCAATTGTAGCACAAGAAATATCTACTGCTATTTCAGAAAATAGAACGGCATAAAGAGAGAGAGAGGGGGGGCGATGGAAACCGAAAGATATGAGTTTTGATTTTTTGAACAATCTGAAATGATATGCCGATATAGGTTTATATATATATATATATATATATATATATTAGATCATAAAAAATTTCATCAAATAGGATTTAATTTGCAAAACAAGAATTACATACCTTGATTAGTTGATTTAGAAAAAAAATTAAAACAAAACCCATACATACAAGTTAGCGTGATCTCCTTCCAACAACACTTCCAAGCACGCAACACCGATCTGATCATAGCCACTGTCCCCAAATCAGGCACTACTTGGTCCAAGTTTTTATTTTTACTTTTTATGTCATAGTAATTCCATGTTTTTCCTTGTCTCCCAAATTTTAAAATTAATCCATTTGTATAAAAAAGTTTTATTTTAACTCAAGAAAAACCTGAAAAGAAAAATATTACTTTTCTTAAGCAAAGTCACATAACAATTTAAAAAATTCTAAATACGACTGAATTATAATAGCAGCAAAGAAAAACAAGCCACAAAGCTAGCTTCTAGCAGCAGATAAAAACCCCAGAACAGCTCCAATCAATTACCTCAAGCATTACATGTCACTCCCTTGAATAATGCTCTTTGTTAGTTATTGTGTTTTTAAGTGATTAGTCCATTATATATACTAAAATGTTAATACTCAAGCTCTCCAATGTATCCTACGGAGCAAAATCACAAAGATACTTGAAACAAATAGATAGAAATGGAAATTTCTAGGAGCAAACAAGGAAAACATCAGAAAAGCAGGAGTGGGATAAATTTAAGTAAGGATTAAAGGGATCATACCATGCTTCTGCATCACTAAAAGAAACTTTATGATCGCTTCTAATGATGGTCTAATCATAACCTGACGCTTTCCCCTCTTCTCTGCATTGTACATGCTCTTAAGAGCATCGTTCAAAACACTAACTCTCACCATCTTCGCTAAAAAGGCTGCAGCAAAATTTTAGAAAGGCATCAGATATATATAACATCATAATTTGACATGCAATCATTAAAAATTTAGAAAAAAAAAAAAAAAAAGGAAGATGTGAAGACATAGATAAATGAAGGTGGACTTCATTCAGGCCAAATAAGAGATTATAAATATCTAAAACCTTGAGTTGCTTTTACTGGGTACAAGAGCAGACATAATTCAGTCACCTTGTCATAAAACATCCAAGAGAAAAAGCGCACTGCATATTTTTTAAAAATCAAACAGATAACAATATGAGAAAACTCCTTTGTACTCGAGCAATTAACCAAATGAACCCAAAGTGCAATTACTTGGGGCATCAGAAGAAAGGCAAATCCCTCCTCATTCCAGACCACTAAAACTACAAGTACCAATTATATTAGATATGGTATAAAAAAACTAACAATTATATCACATTGCAAGGTATAAAAAACTAACAATTTTTAAAATTTTGCATCACTAAAATGATAAGTATGTTTCATTCAAGTAAAATATATACCGTCTTAGTATCATACCCACCGCATCAATTGCTGAATACTGACCGCTAACATTACAATATGTTTTTTCGCCCAATCAATATCCATACCAATGCCAAAAACATATAAATATTTATATATAAAAAACAAAAAACTTGCAAACCATTCAAAGAAAGCACAAATGTGGTATTTATTTCATGGCATTGCAGTGTGATTGCACAGTTAGTAGCTGTCAAGGATCGTACCCAAATGCTCAACCGAAAACCGTCATTACACCACCACACGTTATGAATCAAACGCATGTTTCCATTGTCCATCTATAGAGTCTCAGTGTGTCATACATTCGCTTGATGCTGGCGAAGTAACAAATATCAATCAAATTTGATGTCAAAATTTAATGTCAGAAATTCTGAAAAGACATATAACTGATATATATATATATATATATATATATATATATATATATATATATATATATCTACATAAAGAAACACATACACATACACACACATAAGAGTTCATTCAGCTCCAATAACACAAAAAACAGAGTTTTTTCTTTCATAACAAATATAGAATGCTTCAAATTGTAAAGCCAATTGAACAGAACGACATTAAATAAAAATAAAAATAAAAAGGAAATTATATTTGTCATTTCATGGCATATATGGTCTGATGATTAAAGTGCCTTTTCTTTTTTCTTTTTCCTTTTTATTGCTTTCAATATGTTTTTTCACCCTGTCAAAAACAGCTTTTGGCTTTTGATTGTCTGGTTGCTTCTACGGTTGGATTTGATAAAAGAGTACTATTTCAATAAATATAAATATTTATGGTTAATGAGCTATTTGTTTTGCAATATGGAGGTGCTGTAAATGAATCTGCAAGCTTCTAATTGAGTCTTCTTATCATTTCTATCTGCATCAATAAAACAACATAAGAAATTTTGGGCCAGTGCCAGTAGAAATCTTGGCATGATCACCTATTTGGGCCTCAACTAAATTCAGTACTGCCAATTCATTTTGCAGCATTAAGAAGTTCAAATCACCAATAACTAATCAGTTGAAATCAAATTGAAAATTCTGAATCCAGGAATGTTGATGTACACTTATCAGTCAGTTACTCTTAGGCAGTTGGTGATGAGTGGAACTCCAAGGTGCTTTATAAGGAGAGTACCTAAGCCAATTCCTAGTAGCTTTCAATGTACCTTTATTATAATGCTTGCTTTGCTTGGTTTAATTACAGCAACTTTACAACTTGCTTTTCTTTCTCATACTTTAACTATTACAACTTTGTAGGTCAAGAAAATAGGATTGCGGTTGCCGTTATTTTTTTTTGTTACCGCTATATTTTTTGTATGGCTCATGAAGAAGTTGCATATATAGAAGAGAGAGACTTTATAGAGCAAGAAGATAGGAAGAATTTTTGTTTTATTTTGGTTAAGTAAAGATGTAAGGTGTGGATCATGAACTTCTTTGAAATTTGTATATTGTTAATTTTTGTATATAACAATGATTTGGAATTGGTTATATATATATATATATATATATATATATATATGATGTTATTCGCCAGTGGTAAGTTATTTTAGTTATGATGTTATTTTTTTTTATTTATTTAGAGTTTGCTTCTGGGGTCCTTGTAAGGCTATAGTAGGGAAAAAAAAGCATCATAGGGGCTATATACTAATTTTTAAAAAAAAAAAAAAAA